CTTTTACAAACTCGTTCTCTGTGGTTTTACCCCTTGGGTGTTTCTGCATGCAAATATTGACATGCACATGTAAAAGCGCTAAATGTATCTTCAGCTAGGCTTGTCTTTTAAAGCGTGGATGCCTTTTCAGAACTGAATATAACTTTCACTTGCACTTGTTAAAAGGTGGGGGAAGAAACAAACTTCTCTCTGAGCTGCTAGTTTACAGAAGGGGACTTTAAGTGGGCTGCTACTGAAAGCCGGGGGTGTTTCTGCTGGCTCATATTTTATCGGCACACACCTGTAAAAGTGTTAAATGAAGAAATGCTTCTTCAGATTGGTTTGTCTTTTAAAACATTTATTCCTTTAAGACTTATTATGGCTTTCCATGGGGTTTGTTAGAAAGTAGGGATCAAAGCAACCACCTTCTCTCTGATCCATTGGCTCCCAGCGTGCTAACAGCATGCAGCTTCAAATTGTCCCCCCTGAAGATGCTTGCAAGTCACCAGGGCCTGATGAAATGCATCCTAGAATACTCAAGGGACTGATAGAGGAGTCTCTGAGCCTCTAGCTATCATCTTTGGAAAATCATGGGAGACAGGAGAGATTCCAGAAGACTGGAAAAGGGCAAATCTAGTGCCCATTTATAAAAAGGGAAATAAGAACAACCCAGGAAACTACAGACCAGTTAGTTTAACTTCTGTGCCAGGGAAGATAATGGAGCAAGTAATTAAGGAAATCATCTGTAAACACTTGGAAAGTGGCAAGGTGATAGGGAACAGCCAGCATGGATTTGTAAAGAACAAATCATGTCAAACCAATCTGATAGCTTTCTTTAATAGGATAACGAGTCTTGTGGGAAAGGGAGAAGCGGTGGTTGTAGTATACCTAGACTTTAGTAAGGCGTTTGATACGGTCTTGCATGATATTCTTATCAATAAATTAGGCAAATACAACTTAGATGGCGCATCTATAAGGTGGGTGCATAACTGACTGGAGAACCATACTCAGAGAGTAGTTATTAATGGTTCACAATCCTGCTGGAAAGGTATAAGAAGTGGGGTTCCGCAGGGGTCTGTTTTGGGACCGGCTCTGTTCAATATCTTCATCAACGATTTAGATATTGGCATAGAAAGTACGCTTATTAAGTTTGCAGATGATACCAAGCTGGGAGGGGTTGTGACTAATCTGGAGGATAGGCTCATAATTCAAAATGATCTGGACAAACTGGAGAAATGGTCTGAGGGAAACAGGATGAGGTTTAATAAAGACAAATGCAAAGTGCTCCACTTAGGAAGGAACAATCAGATTCACACACACAGAATGGGAAGTGAGTGTCTAGGAAGGAGTACGGCAGAAAGGGATCTAGGGGTTATAGTGGACCACAAGCTGAATATGAGTCAGCAGTGTGATGCTGTTGCAAGAAAAGCAAACACGATTCTGGGCTGCATTAACAGGCATGTTGTGAGATGACCCAACAGGATGAATCTGGAACAGGATTGCTTCTCCATACACCTTGCAGAAAAGAGCTAAAATGGAGACATTTGGAGTAGTGCTTTGCCTGGCACTATTGGGCAACACTGGATACATTTCCTAATATTTAATATTTACAGCTTTTCTAAATGCTTCTCTCTTACTGAACTTTATATAATAAGTCTATTCTCGAAGGACTTTTTTACCATGTGTTTAGTAAACCAGCTCCATGCTATAAAACTTTCCAATTCCCCATTTTTCTTTCATGTTTTCTCTTTTATTTAATATTTTGATTTAAAGTAACTAAATGCTCATCTCTTTACCTGTCTTTATAATTTATCTGTACCAATTAAATTTAATTTAAAATAACTCAACTCTTTTAAATGCTCTTTTCTTCATCTACCCTTTTAACGCTTTTTACATTTCTGCAAATTAATCTTTTGTACCATGTGCTTAACGGTACCTTCAAAACAAACACAATAAAGTAATGATGTAATTAGTGACAGTGTAGTTTGTAGCAGAGAGAGACTTCATTCCTGTATTACCAATAAAGTAATGATGTAATTAGTGACAGCGTAGTTTGTGGCAGAGAGAGACTTCATTTCTGTATTACAATGGTCTTACGCATCTGCATCAAACTCCACTCTCACACAAAGCTGTGCCCAAACACCATGTTTTCCTCTATTTCTAAAGCTTTTCTATATTTTTATTCTTTTAAAATTCCCACTTTAGTACAAGCTTACAGCATCACACTGCCCGTTAAAATGTGGCGAGGCAAGCAATCTCGGCCTTGCCCGCTCCGTTCAGCGCTGGCTTCTCTCCACCGGCATAGCCTGTTCCGCAGATAAAAGGCTCCAGGGATCACCCTGCCACTGAAAGTCCAGGTGCCCTATTGACAGGTAGGTTATGCCTGTTTCCCAGCGGCCCACAGGATGGGAAGCCCCCCAGGTGAGGGTCGGGAGGAGTCCGGGTGGTGGAAGGCCCAGGTCCTTGGCCCGTGGCAGCTGCCAGGATGTTTTGGTGACTTAAAGATCTGTCCCAAGGGGACCAAGCTGTCAGCCACTGGGAGGCGCTTTTGTCCAGTGTCAGTGTCACTTGGCAGCTGCCAGGATGTTTTGGTGACTTAAAGATCTGTCCCAAGGGGACCAAGCTGTCAGCCACTGGGAGGCGCTTTTGTCCAGTGTCAGTGTCACTGAGGGTCGCTCTGGCGCTTGGAGGTGACGGGTGGGTTTGTTCAGTGACGTGAGATCGCGATGCCCACTCACGGGCAATGGGACTGGTGGCCCCAGGCCACTTTGGCAATGTAGGAACCCGCGCCCCAGAGCCCTGAGCTCGCCAGTTCTGGATAAATGGGATTTCTGGGGTTCAGAGAGCAGAGGCATCAGTGAAACCCAAGACGCCTCGTATGGACGGGGAGACTCTCTCGCTGCCCATAGAGCCCAGCAGTGGTAGATTGTTGACAGTGAGGTAGAGGCACCTTTGGGGTGTTAATTAACACAAACATTGCTTGCTAGTGTGACAGGTATGGCTAACAAGGCGCAGTGGGCCAAATTACCCCGGTGCAACAGCGAAGGGCAGAGACATCGGGGGGGTGAACCCCACGAGGCTTCTTCAGTACGGAGGGGACTCATGCTGACCTCAGCTCCCCTGTAAGGCAGTGCTCTGTGGACGGATAATTCAGACACCCAAGGCTATCTCAGCCCAGCACCCCCAGCACTAAAGGGACTTTCAGTAGGACTTGTGCTCCTAAATCCCTTAGGAACTTTTGCAAATCTTCCTCCCGGCTCCCATTAAAAGTTCAGAGAACAGAGAGAAGAAGCGCTGTTAACTATCCCTGTGGCAGCCTGTGGGGACAGGTCTCCTGGTCTGGAGGGGCCCTCGACTCTCCTGAGGTTCTAGAGAGAGGGTTGAAAAGCTCTTCTGTACTCGGCACAAGGACTTGCAGTCCCTGTCCCCACCCCGGGCTGAGCAAGAGTTTTCCTTCCCGAGGTAGGAGAGAAACTCTCTTCCGTCCCCCTGGCAAACGCTTTCAGAACCAGACCTCTGGGCAAGAGGAGGCAGGATGGTTTCTGGAGAGCGTGTCTGCACTGATCAGCGGGAGGGAAATACTTTCAAAAGCGCCTGCTGCTTTAGGAGATTGGGGTCATATTGGCAAAGGTGCTTAAAGACGCAAGAGCGATCAAGTGGGATTTGAACTTCCCCCACAGCGCTTGGGCCAACGGCCCGATTTCTGCTCTAGACTCAGCTAGGACAATAGAATTCGTCTGTCCATTCACTGCCGCCTCTCTGCGGGAGGTTTACTGCGGAGAGGGAACCCCCTATCGAGGGAGCAAGTGTCTGCCCGACAGTGCTGAGCCTCTGCTCCACACGGACAAGCGCGGAGTCCTGTCCTTGCGAGGGAAGAATCCCGAGCAGTGGTACAGGCTGGGGACCCACTGGCCAAGCAGCAGTTCAGCAGAAAAGGACCTGGGGATTCCTGTGGGTGAGAAGCTGGACATGTCTCACCAGGGTGCCCTTGTAGCCACATTGGGGGGCATTAGGAGGAGCATTGCCAGCAGATCTACAGAAGTGATTATTCCCTTTTATTCAGCTCTGGGGAGGACACATCTGGGGGCTCTGTCTAGACTGGCAAGTTTTTCCGCAAAAGCAGCTGCTTGTGTGGAAACACTTGCCAGCTGTCTCCACTGGCCGCTTGAATTTCCACAAGAACACTGACGAGCTCATGTAGAAATCAGTGTAGACAGCTCAGATTTGTTTTGCGCAAAAAAGCCCCGATCACAAAAATGGCGATTGGGTTTTTTTTGCGCAAAAGCGCGTCTAGATTGGCACGGAAGCTTTTCCGCCAAAAGTGCTTTTGTGGAAAAGAGTCTGTGCCAGTCTAGACACTCTTTTCCGTTAAAAGCATTTGCGGAAAATCCTGCCAGTCTAGACGTAGCCTGGAGTGTTGTGTCCAGTTCTGGGCCCCCCACTACAGAAAGGATGTGGACTCATTGGAGAGGGTCTAGCGGAGGCGACCAAAATGATTCGGGGGCAGAGCACATGACTTACGAGGAGAGGCTGAGGGATTTGGGCTTGTTTAGTCTGCAGAAGAGAAGAGTGAGGGGGGATTTGGTAGCAGCCTTCAACTTCCAGAAGGGGGGTTCCAGAGAGACTGGAGAGAGGCTGGTCTTGGGGGGAGCAGAACGAGGAGCAATGGTCTCAAGTTGCAGTGGGGGAGTCTAGGTTGGATATTAGGAAAAACTATTTCCCTAGGCGGGTGGGGAAGCGCTGGGATGGGTTAAGGAGGGAGGGGGTGGAATCTCCATCCTTGGAGGTGGTTAAGTCCGGGCTTGACCAAGCCCTGGCTGGGATGGTTGAGTTGGGATTGGTCCTGTTTTGGGCTGGGTGTTGGACTTGATGCCTCCTGTGGCTTCTTCCAACCCTATGAGTCTATGAAAGCCCGTCCCTGACCGCTACTATGTCCGTATTGTCTGAGGAGGGCGTCTGATGTTAGCAAAGCCTCCCCTTTGTTTGCAGGTCCCGGGGCAGCCCGGACAGCTGCTGCAGACATGGGGAAGGGCAACCAGAGCTGTGTGACTGAGATCGAGCTATTGGGATTCTCCGATTTCCGGGCACTGCAAGTCCCACTCTTCGTGCTGGTGCTCGCCTTCTATGTGTTTGCAGTGGTAGGGAACACACTGATCGTTCTGGTCACAGCGGCTCACCCGGCCCTCCACACCCCCATGTACTTCTTCCTCCGGAACCTGTCCTTCCTGGAGGTCTGCTACACCTCCGTCACCCTGCCCAAGCTGCTGGTGAACCTGCTCTCGGAGTCCCAGACCATCTCCTTCCTGGGCTGCGGGGCTCAGATGTGCTTCTTCCTGTTCTTCGGCATCACGGAGTGCTGCCTGCTCTCCGCCATGGCCTACAACCGCTACGTGGCCATCTGCTGCCCCTTGCAGTACGCCCTCATTGTGAACCAGCGGCTCTGTGCTCAGCTGGCGGGCGGTGCATGGACCATTGGTACCTTGGCAGCTTTCAGCCAAACTGTGTCAATATTTACAATGCCCTTCTGTGGGCCTAACAGAATCAGCCATTTCTTCTGCGACATCCTCCCTGTGTTGGGACTGGCCACCACCGACACCCACCAGTACGAAGCTGCCGTTACGATCCTCACGGTGCTTCTTATCCTGGTCCCGTTTTTGCTCATCCTCTTGTCCTACAGCCTGATCATCTCCACCATCCTGAAGATGCCCTCGGCTGAGGGCAGACACAAAGCCTTCTCCACCTGCTCCTCACACCTCCTCGTGGTTTCCCTCTTCTATGGCAGCGCAATTCTTATCTACATGCAGCCCACTTCGGTGCAATCCCAGGGCCATGACAGGTTCCTTTCCCTGGTATACACGGTGCTGACGCCAACATTTAACCCTGTTATTTACAGCCTGAGGAACAAGGAGATAAAAAGTGCTCTCAGGAAATCAACAGGCTGGAAGCTGTTCCCTCAGGCAACCTCTTTGGGTTGATGCTTGTGTGCTTGGCCAGATTTGGGAGTGGGGAAACAGTGTTGTCTTCCATGCAGCTTTGAGAAGTTGTAAAGTTCTCCAGGTCTCCTGGAGAGGCAGGGAAGTATGTAGCATTTGGATACATTCACAGGCTAAAAGTCATTGACCTCTCTGTACTTTTCACTGAGGATTTCTTCTTCCTGTGCCTGCATCATTCATGCATAATTTTCATAGAGAAACAGTAGAATATACAAAATGTAAACGATCAATAGCTTGTGTGGGTGACTGAATACCATGCATTTCATAGCATAGCCAGCACAATGAGGGAAGTATGCAACGTGTCAAAGCTGTAAGACTGGACAATGCACAGATCCAGCAATGTGACAGATATAACATGTCAGGGCAGGGCATATGCTTACTCCTCTAGTGCTGTAAAATCAGGCACTTGCTGACCATGGCAAACCTCGGGAGGCAGTTAAACCCAGCACTGTAGGCATGATAAAGCCGGCAGTGTCAACCTTGGCAGAGTTTCAATGCCTTTCCGGGGCTGGGGGGGCGGGTCCATTGTATTGTTTTTGTATTATTAGCAGATTGGCCCAGTGAGGCTCGGGTCCTTAACTCAATTTTTTTTGGTAAAATAAAAGGAAAATGATCATGCTTCATCTCAATGATTGCATTTTTTTAAACAGTGTTATTTTTATGAAGTTATTTTTTGTCAGATTTCTTTAAAAAGGGATTGCTGAAATATTTCTGTTCAAGTTTTTTAGTAAATTTTTTAAAATGGGAATTCCATCAAGTGTATTTTCTTCTTCATCCTTATAAACTGTTCTTATTTGCTAGGTTTTAATGAAAACCGGCTATAGTCTATTTGGTTTCCGATAACATTTTCTTCTAGTTTTCAGACCTAAAGCATTGAATTAGCTGTGCCATAACAGAGCACCCCTCCAGATTTCTGTGTTTGGTTTCTTCCGTGTAAGGTTTATGGAGAAGCAACCCTATTCCCGGCTCAGCCTATTTGCCTGGCTCATCTTTCACCATTCACTCAGTTATGTCAGTTTTGAGGATTCTGTCTCTTGCCGAGAGCCCCGCGAAAGGATTGTATTGGACAAATGTACCAGGCAGGAACAGGCCTTTGGCACCGAAGTGGTTCTCCTGGGAGCCTGGAGGCGAAGGTGACTGAATCCCCCTCCTCTGGTTATGCACAAAGGCAGCCTTTAGAAGATATACCTGAGGAGAGGTCCCTGCCCGGCCGTCCCCCGGCCTCAAGGGCCAAAGCCGTGTACAGGAGAAAGTGAAGTGCGAGGCAGCCGTGAGCTTGTAACCACCGAAGAAACCCTGTTGTGGGACTTGAAGGGCTCAGCCCTGCCAGAGCCCGAGGCTGGAGCCGGGATTGTGGGATCAGCCCGTGTGCAGGCCCTTGGCTGTTTTGCTCTGCTTTCACCTTAGAAATCCATGTGCTTGCTCAGAAGTCTCAGGGCGGCAACTGGTAACTGCGGCCCCTTCGTGGGCTTCGGAGCAAGAGCCCAGTTTGGAAATGGGCTGTGCGGCTCGCTGGAGCTCTCGCAGCGCTGGCAGGGCCGGGCAGGCTGGGAGCGACCCGGGCAGGAGGGAGAGGGACGTGGGAACCGGAGGGCGCCTTGCCAGCCTGGGCAGCCGCTTCTTCCAAAGTGCGGGGCTTTGTGGCTCCTTTTCCAAGTCTGGCTGCCGCGATGGCGAGGCCGGGCCGGCACCTCGTCTGGGAGAGCCCCACTCCCCCGTGCCGGAACCTTGCTTTTCCACATTGGACAGAAAGCAGACGAGCATTCCCAGGGGGCATGGGACCGTGGGCTGGGGTGCCCGCTCCGCCGGTCGGCCTCTGGAAGTTCCACTTGGACGAGGTCCCTGCTCCAGGACAGCCAGGAGTTCTCCGACGGGTCGCGTCCTTCCCAATTCCTTTTGTAGCCGGATTGTGACTCCTCTCAGGGGCCGGAGATCGCTGCCACCCTCCTGCCATGTGTCTGTGCCTGCCACGGGGAGGTGGCCAATGGTCCCTCTAATTGTTTCCCATCCGTGTGTGCCCTGAGGCATGCATGGACGTGCACCACCAACAGAAACAAATGTTGCCAGCTGGTGCTGGGCACCCTGCTAATCAGCTGGGTGGCATTCAACTCCCCTGGGCGGCTGCCCAAGCGCTCAGCGTAAAGGGAGCACCGGCCGTGGGTCACACAAGCTCCCCCAAGGCCTCTGCAGGCCCTGTGGTCACTGTAGCTTAGTGACAGACAATCAACAGCCCTTTGAGCATCTCCCTGGTGCGTCCAGTCCCTGGCCACCAGCCACTCACAGCACTCACCGATTGGCTGCCCCCAAAGATCCCACGCCCCCAGCGTATGGGCCCGGTCCCAGATCCCTGCTGTGCCGAGTACTCGGCTGGGTCTGTCCTTTAATCAAGCGGCCGTTCATTGGCCAAAGTGCAGCGAGCCGAGCAGCAGCAAGTAGGGGTGCTGGAAAGAAATGCTTTGGAAGCCCGAACCTGTGCGCTAGAGACTCTCCGGTGCCGCCATGGCTGGCTGGGGATGCTTTGTTTCACGCTGTCGCTGGGGATGCAGGCCTGCGGTGTGTTCAGACCCTGGCTCGCCGGGCGGGGACTTTGCTGGGTGGACAGGCCCTGCTCTTAGGTGCGTCGCAACTACTGAGTTCTCACGTGGCACCCCCCCCCCGGGCTTCTGAGCTTGGGCACCAGTGAGGGGGGCTTTGGTCTGTGTGCCAGAGGACCAGAAACCAGCCTGCTGCCCAGACGCCCCGTCAAGGCCTCTCAAACCGTCCTTGCTGCTTTTCTGTGGACGCTGCGCATAAACCCAGCACGCGGTTGGGTTTAAAGGGGGCCTGTGGGAGTTAGGAGCGTAAATCAGTGACTTCCAGAGGCACCCAACTCCCTTTGGCTTCTTTGAGACATGCCACGCCCAAAGCATCAGGCGTTTGAGGGTCTCTGCAAAGAAACGTGCCTGGTTATCAGAGGTGCTTGTGCTCCAGCCGTGCTGCCTGGTTGGTCAGCCGCCCCGGAGACGCTGACATCCCTGGCTGGGCCTCGCGGCTGCCCTGCCTAAGGGTGACGGGCGCAAAACAACCTCACGGGGCGAGTCAGGTCAAACAGCAGCCAGCAAAGCCCGGCCACCTGGCGTCGCACGTCCCGCCCGGCTCCTAGGAGCAGGCAGGCTCTGGCGTGCAACGGGCTCGGGTCACCAACCTGCCAGCACCGGGATGGCTTCCAGCACGCGGGGTAGCCAGCCCCGCTGAATTTCCCCAGGACCTAGACGACCCCCTGGGAGGGGGGTTTGAATAGCTGGGGTGTAACTAAGCAAAGACTCGACCTCACCGATACATCCCATGGGTGGCGGGGGCGCTGCAGTTAGGCCTCTGGGTCGCAACTGAAAACAAGGGTGATTGCAGCATGCCCCGGCCACACCCCTAGCTCCATGCAGTGAGCTTTCCGTGGCGGGGGGGGGCC